CCACGGCAATTGTTCCTACAGCTCTGTGAAGGAGGAGGTCAGGAAACACCGATTTCCTTGTGGGAAATTAACTTGGGCCCAAATGAAACCAAATACAAGGTCAGCAAGCTTTCTTCTTTTATAGTTTCGTTAAGAGTGAGGAACAGGATCTCTCCTGCACAATGACCACTGGTCTAAATTAAGGGGTAGTGGCAAACCTTCTGCCCTGTATCTTTTATGAACAGTGTCTCATAGGTGAGTCCACGACAACAGGCATGGCGTAATTAAACTTAAAAAGGGACGCTAACTCAGCTGTCCAACAACAGCCAAGAAATGCTCCCAAGGTTCCTTCAATTTGGGTAGCTACAGCCAGGCTATGGGTGTGCACAGAATGGACAGGCCCTTCAGGGCAGTGAATCTTCTAGACTTTAAGTCTGTCAAATCCCACACAGTTCCAGGTTTCTTACTCATTTGGTCCATGGCATGAGGTTTGGAAGGCAGCTATGCTCACCACTATACCACCAATGCAAGCCATGGCATGAGGTTTGGTGGGTTCAGAAATTGCAGCCATCTTTGCCTTACAAGCTACATCAAGCCTTCCTGGGGAAGAGACTGTGTAGTCAGTGGGATTCAGTCTATAAGTGGGAAAGCATACCCCTGTACAAATGTCTGAAGGATAAAAGAATGTTTTCCTCACCAGTGGGGTCCAGAAAGAATGAATATGAAACACAATGGAAAAGAATTCCTTATCTTAGCAAATGTAGTTAGAAGGACCCAGTAAAAGGTTTTCTTTATTGAGACAAATGCAATTAATAACTAATGACACTATAAAAAAGCTGTTAGTGCTCTAAGATCTGAGCCTGTTTTAGTAGTGCCACTGCGACCCATTAACTGATATGCAGAGATGACATCGGGTAGTGAAAGCTACATCTGCATCCTATTTTCCAGAGGTGGACATGGTCACATTTGAAGTCCCTTCTAAGTAAAGAGGAGCCTCCAGGAACTGGTAGATTATTAGTACAAATACCAAAACCATGGAGTGTTCAACTTCATCCAGCTAAAAGCCAAAGAGGATCACACTAGGAAACAGGGTTTCTTCAATGTCTAGAAGCATTGCGGAACAAACGTAATTTTTGAAAGAAATCTTACAATATCTAACAAGGCACTAGTTCACAACTAGGGAGATGATGCAGAATTATAAAATACAGCCAATTTTTCTAAATATGAAACAATTTCTTTAAGGATTATGAGGTTATAAAGATGCAAATAAGCAGAACATAGCAACCTCTATTGGTTAAAGCTGAATTAAACATACACAAACAATAGAATAAATCTTACTCAATATTGCTGTCACTGAGCCATCACAAAAAATGCCCACTAGTGTGAAACGGTGTCCAAGGGACTTCACAAACAGCCATAGGCACACCATGTGATGCAACTGCTGTCCCTGCCAGCTTTCTCTCTTTTACTTTCCTACTCCCCTGCCTCTCCCAATTCCCCTCTCTCCCCCTGTGGTTTTCCATGCAGTCCACAGAGCTCTTCCTGGTCTCAGACTCTAAATCTCCTTTACCTGGTTACCTGCCTGGCCCGAGCACACGGCACCCATCCTAGGACCTATTACACTCAACTCTGGACCCTTTCTTGCTTCATTTCCCTCTGAGTTTTAAAGGTGTGGCTGCTGCTGGCTCTACCATCATTTCCTCCTTAACAGTTCCTTCTGTTTTCTCACGATCATTAGCTTACCTGTGTCCAGAGAGGTTTGTTAAATTCTCTGTTTTTTTTTTACTATTCTCAAAAGCGATCAATGGCTGAACACAGCTCTTCCAGCATTCTAGAAATTGGCACTGAACACACACACTTTCCCATCAGCTACATGTACTTAAGAGAGAAGGGTGTGCATCTTTTGTACCTATCTCACTTCTATTCCCACTTTTCTATCAACAGGTCCTGGAGTGACATGCACTAATAGTTCAGAACATATTTTGTTGAACCGCATCAATAAATGGAGACTGTGTCATTTGGAAAGTGAATGAAACGAAGGGCAGTTCTTACTCTCACTCTTCTGTAATCCCAGGAAGGATAATTTATAGAATAAAAGTCCCCAACACTCAAAGAGGAAGAAGAGTCTAGTGACGCGAGTGACATATCTCTGCCTAGTTAAAATGGCTCAATTCATACTTAACAACATCCTATGGGAACACAGATGAGTTTTACTAGTGAAAATATACAAAAAGAGAGCCATATTCATGAACTGTACAGAAAGCTTTATGTTGGGGAAAGTAGCTAGTATCTTAAAGAGTAAAATGAATGAACAGAAAAAGTTGAAAGCAAAGCAAAATGGATCCAAGAAAGTCACCATTAATTGAAAAAATGCACAATGTTGTAGTGGTGCTAAAGGCATGATTCTGTGCTAGACAGACATAACAGACATGTAGAAAGTAGGCAAGAAGAGTAACCACTAGGGACTCTGTGTAGATATGGATACACACACATATGCATATGTATGTGCATGTATATGTATATATTTTTTGAGGTACTACAGATTGAACCCAGGCCCCCTCTCATGCTAGTGTGAGGCAAGTGCCCTAACACTGGGCTACCCAGTCCTAGCAAAGTATTAATTTAGAGAACAGGATCAAATTCTTGACTTCATTTTATATAGAAGATTAGGAAAAAGCTAGGCAGGGTTGTACAGAAATACAACTCATCCTTTCAGAACCAGTCCATAAGGCCTTTCAGTCCCAACTCCCAAAAGAAAGAAGCTCTTCCTGCTCTGTGTGCTCATGAGCGCTTATATAAACCAGAGAAACTCGAGGAAAGGAAATAAATTCATTATGGCACTGAGGAAGTAGCAACCAAAGAAACACTTAAGGTAACCAGGCTGGTTTTGTCTGAATAGAAGAGTAGACAGAAATTAAGTTTAAACCTAAATTTCTCTGGTTCATATTCCCACTCTGTGATTTAAGCATGGCATATTTTTAATATGTGGCTTCCTGCTGACATAGACCCAGTCAGGGGCTGTTCCTGCAAGGAATAGATGCTCATTTCAGCATCAGTCTGAGCAAAGATGACTTGGAAGACTGCCGGAGGTCATACACGCTCCTCAAGTTAGGCTTATTTGGTGGAGGGTTCCCTGACACAATCATAGTCACCTGAGAGTTGACCGCTAAAGTAGAAATGTAAGCAGCTTTTCTCAGCACCATTAAAAAGTGAAAATGGGTTTAAGTGTCTACTGTAGGAGACACACAAAGTAGAAACTGGAACTGGGAGGGAAATGTTTACTGATACAGGAAAAGGTGGGGGATAGAGAGATAGCAATGTCCCATCACGAAGCTGTGGTCAAGGTTATAGAAAATAAAGAATGGGCAAGACCTTACAGACCAATAAAACAGGAAGGAGGGAGAAAGGTGAGCAAAGTTCATGATGTAGCAGACAGCAGAAAACAACAGAGAGACTAAACAGTTTTGTAGAAAACTGAAATGAGGCCGGTGAACTAGAAGAGGGAAAAACCCTTGACATGTAAGATTTAGGTGTTGAACAGAATGGATAGCAACCGAAGAAAGCATTTGTTTGATGCAAGCAATAAAGCTTTGTAAAAAATATCAAATGTGATAAAATGATTATTAAATGTAATGGGATATACAGCTCTTTTGGCTTAAATTTCAGATTTTATGATTCTCCTTTAAAAAGGGAAAACTTACAATTTAAATTGAAAAGCAAAGTTCATTTTTATCTGAATGACCACATTTTCATCACATCAGTTTCAACCACAGCTTTTATGAACAGTATGTTCAGCTTTTTTCTTTCCTAGTTGTTCCTCAGCTATTCATTAGCTATTCATCCCGAAGTCTCATTTGACCATGGCTAACAGGGAATGCTAGGTTTATTTAGAGGTCCAAGTAAAAAGACTAATAGCAAAAGGAAATTAATTTACATATTTAGACAAGCCTTCAAAAATTCGTAGAATTTTTTCTCTCTCTATACTATCTTTGGAAATGGTCCAGATCAAATCTAGCTGCAGAAATTTCTCTCAAATCCTGGCAGTTAGCATTTAGGGCATAAGGTGAGGGAAAGAAAGGCATCTTTCTCTACCTATCCAGGCCCTGAAGCTCTGAGCACAAATGGAATGATCAATATCAACACTTTGGCTGAATAATTTCATAGCAGATTTGTTCTCTTCCACACAGTTCTTAGAACAAAATTCTATGTCATATTAAGGAGAAAAACCACAAAGGCCTTACCCTATTTACTTTTAGATTCATAGTTATGGAAGTAAACCTTAGCTGCTGGGAATACACCATAAGTGGTCTGGATTAATCCTCAAGCTCCTTTATTCCCCAGACAGTCAGGCTCCTCACAGGACAGCAACCACGGTAAGGTCCACCACGGGCTTAAGAAGTGACTTTGGCGGTGTTTTAGGCAACTGGCTTCAACAGCTGTGCAGCTCAGTTTTAAAAATAAGCAAAGCTATTTTAAAGCCAACAAGTTGTCCAGTCATGCATGCCTTTGGGGTTTACCATCAAGAAAGCAGCAGAAACCTGGCCCTGAGGAAATGTCTTACCTGAGGGCTTGGTGAACCTACAGGTAAATACTATAACCTATCATTTTCTCACAATACTGATAAGCATTACTTCTAAACAGCAATCATTCTACTTTTATTGCTTTTATTCTCAATTAGTTTATTATTACAAAGTCGGTACAATAATGCACACATCTGTATCAAAAGCACCTGCTATTTTGTCCACCTTATGAAATGCTATTCCCAGTTATACTCACCGATTGGTGAAATCATTCCTTCTCTGACTTTGGGGATCAGAGACACAAAACTGCAGCCTTCCAGAAAAAACAATTATTTTCTTGAGCTAGGAGCATAAACACTATCTCTTCCATTGCCTGAAACTTTCATGGGGAATGTTTGACAATTACTGAAGAACTCATGTATTCAAATAGCTATACTTAAGTCCATCAAGAGGAGTAAGAAATGACCAAAGCTAGATGTTAAGTGACAGTCAGAACCTTACCTATCAAGGTATGGAAGACAGCAGCTATGGCGCCTGCCACCACCATGCACAGGACGGCTTTGGTCCTGTCTCGCTTGCTGTTCACAAACACCAGGCCCACATTTTTGAAGTCACTCATGGGACCCGTGAAGAACTTCATCAGGGAATATGCCAGCCCATAGCTTGCAAGCATCTCGACGGCATCTTCCTTGACAGCTGCGATGCCCCGGTTCAAGGCCTGCAAAGGGGAGAAACACCAGCAGCATGGTTACAGTGCAGCATCTCTGGGGAGTCATACCTCTGAAATAAAACTCAGCCCACTGAGTTTCTATAGAAACACCAGGTGGGTAAATCTCACTGTAATTTGGTAAAAGATAGTGGTTTTCATTTTCATCCCAATTAGCTTCAATATGAATATCTTTTTGTGAAGGAGATAGATACCTGTCCATAGGCTAAAGTAACAGAAAAATCCCAAAAGTATATTACATTAATATTGGGAAATACTTGTAAGGAGTTTTGGTGAAAAGCTGATTTTTATGAAAATGCTAACTGGGCGTGGTGGCACAAGTGTATAATCCCAGTATTTGGGAGGTACTACAGGCAGGAGGATGCTAAGATCTGGCCAGCCTGGGCTACATAGCAAGACCTGGCCCAACAAACAAGCAAATACACTAACATGTTTAATTTTGCTTGTAGGCTGAATCTACATAATGGCAACAGGCATTTGGAAGTGAATTAGCCAGTTTATGGTCTGTTTTTTAAGTATATGTGTATGCACATCAGCTCGTGTGTATTTGAGTAACCGTCCACAGTGTGTGTAAGCCACTGTGTCATTACGAACCCCACTGTCAACCCTACAGTGCTTACCACTGCATGAGTTCTTTCTGTGCTATGAACAAGTGCATTATACCATCAATGGATGCTGATTTAATTAGAAATGTATTCCTCAGCTCTGCACAGAAAGATGCATATGAAAAGACCACCTTCAGACTGAATGCAATGTTTCATTTTTTTTTTCCTTGTGGTGCATGGCAGGGGATGGAACCCAGAGCTAACTCGAAACACAATGTTTTACATAACGTTTGCTCAGGAAGATGCATCACTGAATGTTCTGACCACTTTAACCATCCTCCTGGAGGAACCTCCACTGACACACTGTTACCACTCAAGGCTCCTAGTTAACAGTAGGTGCTGTAAATTCTATGGGATTTGACTAATATAGAATGACATGTATCCATTATCAGAGTCATGTTTTTTTAAATGACACCCCATTCTTGTCATTTCCACTCTTCCAACAGAACACTATCACATTCATATATCTCTCTCATTTATCTGCTGTGTTAAAACGAGGAAGAAATGAAAGAAATGAATTTTTCAGTCAGGCATGGTGGCTCATGCCTGTAATCCTAGCTACTAGCAAGGCAAAGATCAGGAGTATTGTGGTTGGAGGCCAGCCTAGGCAAAAAGTTTGTGAGAATCCATATCAAACAATAGGTCGGTGTGGTGGCACATGCCTACAGATATGCAGGAAGCTTAAATAGGAAGATTACAGTCCAGGCAGGCCTGGGTATAAATGAGATCCCATCTCAAGAACAACTAAAGCAAAAGGGCTGGGGGTGTGGTTCAAGTGGTAGGACACAGGGCCTAGCAAGCTGGAGGGCCTGAATACAAATCCCAGTTTTGCAAGGGGAGAAAATGATTTTTTTCTGTCTGCTCCCCATTTTTATTAAGCAAACAGTGGTTCACAAATTTCTCTACAAATATAGTTACAGCATTTACACAAGTTTTGCTCCCTTGCAATACTCCTTAAAGCTAACATACACAGCAGCAAATAAGCCAATGGGAGCTTGAAAAAAGAAAGGCTTGGTATAATAAATGATTCAAGAACAAATCCTCAAACACACATAATATTTAAGAATCATAACTCATACTACATTGAAACAAAACTACAATGAAACTGTGTTTCACTAACTTAAGACATTGCCAATGTAAGGTACATCATTTATAACTGCATGCAAATTATTTGTAAGATGCATCTAGAATGCAGACATGCTAACATGGGGTGTGTGGCTGAGAGGGTCTGAGAGGAGGTGTTTCATGTTACATTAATAATGGCCCCTCAGCTCTGAAGGCTAGTCTAGGATTTGGTGTCTAATGCCACCATTGGCATTCACCCAGCACAAGTGCCGGCAGAAATGTCAGCAAAACTCAAGGGCTTTACATTCTTTGCCTGTACTTTGTTCCCCTCCCTTTCCTAGGTGACACCACTAACTAATACAGTGAACCCTCACAGGGCTGAACATTCTTTGTAAAGCACTGTTACAGGAAAATGTATTTATAGGAAAATATCACTGTGTAAAAACAATTTTAGAAAAATCTATAATTAAAATGTATGATAGCCATGTGAACTTATCATTCTTCTGACAAAGCATCATAAAGCTATCTTCTAGTAATTGTTTGCAATGATTTTGCTAATTCTCTCTCTCTTCTTTAGAAATAACTTGAAAATTTCCCTAAGAACCTTCTTAGTTGTTGCCGAGCATCCCTGTAGTGATGCTTCTTTTAGAAACAAATTTTCCCTTTTGCGAAAACCGATTAAATACCTTAAACCAAAATAAAAAACAAGAAACTCCCTGATACGATTCTGTTAAATAGGAACACCCAGTGAGAGGCGCGCTATTTGTCAGCGCTTACTACTCAATAACCTACCAAGTTAATTCCTCTGGACTTGGTAGTGGATACTGTTGGCTCCCACCCAGATCCCAGATATCAGCAGCGCACCCAACCCCAGGTGCTGGCAGTTGGCTACTAATGGCTCCCAGCTGTTTCCTTCTCAGGAAGAAAACCCTAACAGTTTGCATGGGTTAAACACAACTGACCCCCCCAACCTTGAACTCCCAGGTGGGGACAGGAAGACAAAGACTAGCTGACACAGGTTATAAAGATTAGCTCTTTTGCCTCCATGTGGGCCACTCTGCTGCAGTCATGTTCCCCTTGGGACCAGTGGAAGCAGTCTCCAGTGGATACCAATCCTTGCTTAACTTTCCCCAGCGCCCTATCCCACTGGCTCCCTCTACTTCGCCTGAAAGCACTTGTTCACTAAATCACAGTGCACGAGAATCCACACACAGGTTCTGCTTCCAGAGACCTCAACGTGGGACAGCTGCTCTCTCACACCAAAAGCCTGTACAGTCTGTTCTTTTTCTTTCCCCTCCCCGCAAGTCTACCACTGTGAATTGTTTACTTGTCTTTATTGCTTAAAAGTGTGTTAAAATTTAAGACATATATTATCTAGCACAAGTTTCAAAAGCTCTTGGTAGCGTACCTAAATAAAGTAGATTAGAATGTTTGTGACTTCTTGGCAAGACTTTCACTTTTTGCTAAAAAGACATCAGTTCTGGCTGGGCAACCACTGCAATGCTTTGTATTTCCAATGACAGTTCTTGATTTGCGTTCTGAAACTAGGGCTCAGGCAGTGGGAAGAGGAGGGTACAGGTAATGATAGCTCTGTCTGTAAGACTGAGTGAGAAAGTTTCATTTAGATCAACAATTATGGTAATTTGAGAAAGAGCACAGGGTTCAGAGGCAGGCAGAACTGAGTTACAGTCATCTTCTATCACTTAACTGCTGACTTATTCTCCCAGAAATAACCCAATGAGTTTAGAAGGGATATAGGCAAGTATTGCACAGGCCAAGAGGGTAGTGGCCTGGAAAAGGCATCTGAAAGTACGGATTTTTGTCTATTTTATTTACCACCTTGGTCATGCTATAAGCCCTGCTGAATGAATAAATGAATTTGCTGTTTTCTACCAACAACTTTAATGTTCATAGTGATTTTTATAAACTTAAAAAAATTACCTTTTAATTTTGAGATTTTATTGCTAATAACATATGCCACTGATTTAATCTTTGTAATGAGCATATTAAATCTACACATTATTTGAAAATCCTGTCCTAATTTTCAGAAAGTGTAAGAAAATGCAAGAAAGAAGCTTCAGAATTGAAGACATGTGCTACAATGCTATTAGCCACTTTTGTTCCCACTGATAGAAAGTATTTATCCCAATCTACTTCCTAATCTCATGATATTCTTCTGATATCAAAATATTGAGTTATTATGGAGTCTGTTGATCATTTTATGGAATTTATTCCATATCATCGGCCTTTGCCATTCTTACCCATCCATACATAATTTTGTTCTAGCTTATGGATTCATTTGCACACTTAACTTTCAATCTTTCTGGAACTTAAGAAGGAAGACATGGATCAAAATTAATTTACTCTAAATAGTTTGTGATGGTTTATTTTGATGGTTTCTTACCATTATTGGGTTTTTACATGTCTTCCGGTTACCTAATGTTTCTATCACCTGTCTCCACTTGTTCCCATTTTCCTTCCAGCATGTTTGTTCACTCCCTGACACACAGTATATTTACCTGTTATCTGTTTCACTGTTCCATTTCCTCCACCTGAATATAAGCTCCAGGAAGCACAAAGCTGTGTTTCACCACTCCATCCCCAGGCCCACAACATGGCAGGTGTGACAGATAATCAACAGATGAAAGAATGAAGTAAAATGTATTCAAGCAGAATAAACATTAGCTGTGAGGAATACTGAGAAAAGAACTCCTTGGAGGAGCTAATTTAGATAGGCAAGGCAATCCCTGTATGGAGGAGATAGTGGAGCTGAGAACTGAAGAACAAGGAGCCAGCGAGATAAAGAGCTAAAGAAAGGCAAAAAAGGAACAGAAGGAGGCAGGAGGAGAAGTAGGAGTGGGGGATAAGGTGGTCAGGACAAATAGGCAACGTCAAGGTGACCATTCCAAGCCAGGTAAAGAGGATGTGTCTTGTTCTGAGACCAGTGGGAATTCATGAAAGATGGTGGGCAGAGGAGAGACAGGGGCTTATACCAGCTATGGTGACAGATGTGGGCTGGAGAGGGAAGGGCAGAAGCAGGAAGTTGAGAGCTCTGTGGGAATCCAGACCAGAGACAGTAGCGCTGTGGCAAGGTAAGGAAGTGGAGAGGGAGAGACATAGATAGATTGGACAGCATTTTGAAAGATAAGCAGCCAGTTCTGGAGATGTACTTTGGGGTGGGGGGTTATGAGAAAAAGGGAGAAGTTGCAGGTGACTTGAATTTTTAGGCTCAAGACCCTGGTTAAGTCGAGCAAAGAAGCACTAGGTGGGTCACACATGTATTTGCATCTCCTAATATCTTCTGGGTTCATGATACTCTGTTGCCTGCTTGTTTTTGTTTTTTCACAGTAAGTCTGCAAAATCACAGGATATTAAAAAGTAAAAAAAAAAAAAAAAAAAAAAATACAACCTCCAGGGAAATGGCTACCAAATCCCACAGGTATGAACTGATCTCTCTGGTATGAACTGTCTAGATCAGTAAATCCTAAAAGAGTTCATGACATTTTAAACTTGGGATCTGGAGACCAGAAAAATATCTATACTGCAGACTGAGCTTCTTCAGGACAAGTCACCAACTCCCTACTAACCTGCCATCATTTCATGCTGATGGAGACCCTTCTTCCCTGAGAGCAGGTTTGAGGCACAGGGTGGCTGGCTCCTCTCCTGGCTGGGAAGCCTGTGAGCTACTGATGTGTAGAAAGCTTATTTTTCTGGTCTCAGTACAAAATAAGAGCCAACGAGCCAGAAGGATGGCCATGGTAACAGAGGGACACAGTAGTTCGATTCTACCCGGCCTATTGCTGACAATACTGCTTTCCTTTCTCCCTGTGGTTTCAGTGGTAGTTACAAGGCCTGGGTGAGTGCCCTGAAGTCCTGCTCAAATGAACAAGCACTACCTCCCTGCCCTGACCACTCTCTTCCCATGGTTACCTCCCTCTGAGAGTGACCCCTTGGCTACTTATGTCCACCCACCAAATGAAATCCTTGAAGCACTCAGAGAGCCTGACAGAGTGGAGCAGAGGAATGTTGTAGTAAGCACAAGGGTTAGTGCCCTGCAACTGCACTGTGCTTGGGGCTATCCCTATTCTTCCTATTGTGGAGGTGGGAGAACATCCCTGGCTCTCCACAGCTGCTTCTGACCATCCTTTCTCCGTTCTCCTATAAACTGCCTGCTTCTCTGAGGCTCATACCACCTAGTGATATTCTCATCTAATTTAATCTCCCCTGAGAGATGCCCAGATAGAAAAGTCAAGTCCCTCTGGCCCCTTCAATATTCACTGATATTTCTGTCATGTGGCTTATAATTTCTTCTACAACTCAACTGGGCGGGGGGGTGGGAGCTGGGAGTTTCAATAGGCGTATG